AGTAAAACAAAAATACTAGTAGGAAGAAAAAGTAGGGAAAGAACGAATATAAAGGTAGGACACGATAAATTTAAAGTGGCCGATTTTCGGTATCTAGGAAGTCAGATAAGTCAGAACGGAAGGAATAATAGGGATATAAAGCAGAGGATAGCGCAGGATCGAGTCGCCTTTAATAATAAGAAGTCACTTCTATGCTCGCGAATGGTCAATCTAGGAATTCGTAGAAGATTGTTAAAGTGTATGTTTGGAGCCCGGCACTGTACGGGTGTGGAAAATGGATTGGGCCGCGGGGGAAAAGAAAAGGTTAAAAGCGTTCGAAATGTGGTGTTTCATGCGAATGATCAGAGTACCGTGGATAGAGAAGGTTAGAAATGAAGAGGTATTAGAAAGAATATGAGAACAGAGGACTCTATAAGATTAGAGATAGGTTGGTAGGACACCTTAGGCATGAAGGTTTAGTCAGAGACATATTAGAGGCAGAAACAGGAGTTAATAACGAGTTTACTGTTCAGAAATAGTTAAGCATATGGGATGTTATAGTTTTAGGAAAATGCAAAGATTAGCTTAGTAAAGTAAAAAGTTGAACTGCATGTCCACCCAGTCTCGGGACTGACGACCACCTTATGATGGTCGTGATATTTGTCTTGTCGCGATTTACTGTCTGATGATCCCTGCCCTGAATAAGTTTCACCATTGACACATGCATGTATGCATAACTAATAATAAGAACGGAATCAAACTTGTACATGGATTACTCCCAAGAGTAAATTATTTTAGTTTTTAATTATTTCTGTGCTTTGATACTCTTGTTGTAAACGCTTCTTGATGACTTTTTTTACTTATTCTGGTTGATGCTTCATTGGGATGTACCATTTAGAATGACTAATACTAGTCTTTAACTTAACGTTCTAAGAGAGCTGTTATCTTTAATTTAGTTTTCTGCGCCTACCATGCTACCATTATAAAACAAATGGGTCCAGAAGAGCTGTAATAACCAGCTTTCACTTATGGTAAGTGTGCATGATTTATTTAACGCGACGAGAAATGATTAGAGATCGAAATCGCTTTTTATCGATTTATAATTGCTGATTACTGATGTCCCGTTTTAAACATAGCGAAGACGTTTGTTAATATCTCATTGTTGGTAACGGTCAATTACTTTTCTCATTATCGGTTGCCATTGCACAACGCAACGTTTTAAAATTGCTTCCGATAGAAAATGATTTCCGATTTGTAACGCAAGAGTCTATTAAATTCTAACGGTCAGTCTCGTTACACTTTCGCTGATAATTTGTCACGTAAAAGTTTAATTATATTTTAAATCTATGGAATATTCGGATCAAACGTTTAAAGGTGCGTTTAAACTAGGCGAATAAAAGGTGCAGTTTGTTCAGTTCGCGTCAGTCTTACTACCTAAGCAACAATCGAATAAAATGTCATGAAACACGTTTAAATGAAACGAACGCATCCTTTGATAGTCACCTTATCACACATAGTTAAACGAAGCTGGTAGAATACACATCTCATTCTTCGTGTTTGCTATTGAACGCTTACTTCTTGCTATCTTAGCCAACAATTAGTTTCACTAGTATGACCTCCCACAAAGCCCATCTTTAACGCTCCGGTTCTTAATTAATAAATTTAATTCTGCTTGTTTATATTGGTTTTTGTTAAAATGCTTAACTGTATGTATAAGAAGCTTTAGGTTTAATCGCAAAGATTAATTTAAGTCTATAATTGAGAATGTCATCTTGGGTGTCCGCCGGGTCCCAAATCCAAATCGGGTACTCGGCCAAGGGTTTCTACCAAAACCGACTTTTTGAAAAACCTGTTTTCATTTTCCAAATTTCCAAGAAATCTGTGTTAGCTAGTTTTCGAATTTATATAAAAAAGAGGAATGGAACGAATAATAGGGATATAAAGCAGATGATAGCGCAGACTTCTATTCTCGCGAACGGATAATTTATAAATTAAAAAAACATTGTAAAAGGTGTATATTTGGAGCGAGACGCTGTACAGGTGCGAAACATGGACGGTGGGCGCGGCAGAAAAAAAAGGTCAAAAGCATTCGTAATGTGAAATTACCGGCAAATAATGAGGATACCGTGAATAGAGAAAATTAGATATGAGGAATTATTAGAAAGAATAGGAGAATAGAGGACTCTATGGAAGTCAGTAAGAAACAGGTGAGATAGGTTGTTACGAGACCTTCTCAGACATGAAGGTCTAGTCAGAGACATATTAGGGACAGAAACGAACGTTAGGAGGGGTAGAGGTAGATCTAGATTAGATTACTGTTCGCAAATAGTTAAGGATGTGGGTTGTTCTAGTTTTAGGGAAATGCGAAGATTAGCTCAGGATAGGAAAGAGTGGAGGTACGTGTCCAACCAGTCTTAGGACTGATGACCTTATGATGATGAT